GCCGCCGCCGCCGCCACCGCCGCCGCGCCCGCCGCGCGGGCGACCCCGCCCAAAGCCGCGCCCAACCATGATGATGGTGATGATGGTGATGATAGTGGAAGGCTGCTTGATGATTACGTAGTTCTAGTCACGTGATTAGTAGAAGTCTTTTAGCTTGACAACACATTGAACTGATTGTGGAAATGAACGCTGTGAATGGAACAACACGAGCAGTCAGATAGAAGATAGCATGGAAGTGCTAGTCAGACTGGGGCACGAGTGTGAACGGTCAAAATGGTTATGAATAATCGCAGCACCGCTTGGCGCAAGAACGATCTATCAACGAACACCATGGGAACTTCATGAGACACGAGCATGTCGCAAGGGACTTCAATATGAAATAAGGGGCAAATGTCATGGCAAAGACGTAATGATGCATCAGGAGTCATTGGTTGATGGAGCGAGAACGAGGTAGGATATAAAATGCAAGATTAGGGGTAGATGCTAGGCTGGACAGACGGATGGAAAAGGCAGGGTAAAGCAAGGTAAGACGGTTGAAGACAGAATTAGACAAAATAGAACAAATCAATAATAGTGATGATAAGCCATATAACACGAATCAATGCAGGTAGACAGGGAGATGAGGGACCTGAAAATGGAGATGTTGGCAAACGACTGTCCGTCATAAGGGAGGAGATGCAGCGAGCTGCGAACAAGCAACAGCAAATACAGACGGCGACGTAACGTAAAGGGTACGAAAAAAATCGCAGTGAGGAGTGGAACAGAGAAGCACAGGATGAAAAGCAGTCGACGACGAGAACGCACAGGAGAGGGGAGGAAAGAACTTACACGAAGGGTATCGATGGCCTGAAGAAAAAAAGAATAAGGGAAGATCGCGAGGCGTGGGTGCACCTACCTTATCTACTTCTGAACTGTTCGCCTGCCTGCACGTGCAGCCACGGCTGCCATAGCCTCCCTCCTAGCTAGCTCCTTCTCTCCCGGACTCGCACTTGCCTCAATCAGTGTGCACACAGCAGACTTACATCAGTTCCTACCACTTGCTCGGAAAATCTTAGGTCACTACCTGCCTTGGGCTAGTCCACTCATGGCGCATTGATGTCACAAGTAGCCCGACCTTGGGTAGAGCACACATTTGGGAACGCACCGGTCTAAACCACTGCGAAGCTCTCGCATCTGTGCTTGAAGTGGAATTATCTTCGCCGGGCTAACCATGCATTCCAGTCTCCATGTTCGCCTGTCCTCGACTAGATCTCCTGGGCGTGGGGGTAAATCAGTAGAGTAGAATATCTAGGTAGGTATTCGACAATACATGACAAGACATACTCCAAGAGAAGCCGAGGCTTGAAACTCTGCCTCTCCCATAATGTTTGGATACCACACTTGCACACTCGCCACTATCGTAATTTACCTTCAGGCCAGTCCAGCTTCACTTGATACCAAACGATTGATAGAGCTGTCCTCCACTTTGCGACTCGGTGACTCACCCTTAATACGTAGGTACACCCTGAGCTCTGTAACAAAGCGTGATTTGCTTTACTACCCTAGTTATGGGTATCTAGGTAGCTAAGACAACAAATACCTATGGACAAGTCACAGGTTGAGATGGGTCCACACAGGAAACTTACTCTTGCTCGCACCTACGTCCCTCCTGCTCTGTAGAACGATTTATAATTAGGAATTAGGCATCTTCGAACAAACAAATCATCAGGCGGGGTGGCGTAGTTGGTAACGCAATCCTTGCCTCACCCTCCCCGGCGGCATCAGGCAATGGCTAGACCCTGGTTCGATCCCAGGCCCGCGCCAGATTCTTTTTTTTTTAAACATAGATTCGGCCTTACCTACTGGGACAGCATTGTCACCCCAGTGCCAGCAACTTCGTCCACTGGTGGATCTACTGGCACAACTTATGATGGTACTACACCTCCTGCAGGAGCATACATCGTTTCCAAGACGGCCATCGATGGTGTGACAACATATGACACTATCCAGTCTGCATTGAATGCGCTGCCCACGTCAAGCAAAATCACCGCCACCGTCTTCATTTATCCTGGCGTCTATGAGGAGCAACTTGTTCTCAACAAGTCTGGAACGACTATTTTCATGGGCTACTCCAGCGCTACTGATGACTATACACAAAACCAGGTCACGATCTCGTACGCTAAGGGTATTGATACACAGGCAGATGCTTCCAACTCTGATTCAGCCACTGTGTATGCGACAGGAAACTACTTCCAGGCCATCAACATCAATTTTGCGAACACATTTGGTACCACAAAGAAGTAAGTGGATTTCCAACTCTGATTTTAAGTTCTTAGCTAATTTCACTAAGCTACGCCACCCTCGGCTTTGGTGTCAAGAGCAGCAAGTACGCCTCTCTGTATGGTTGCCAGGTGTATGGCAATCAAGATGCTTTGCTCATCAACGGTTATTTCTTTGCCTCAAGCTCGAGGATCGTCGGAAACATAGATATGATCTGGGGTGCCGGCGCCGGATACTTCCTAAATACGACAATCTCACCAAATACAGACGATGTCTCTTTGACGGCTAGCAAGCGAGCTACCAATACTACAGCTGCCGGCTTTGTATTTGATCAATGCACAGTCACACCCGCTGACGGCGCTTCATACTCTGAGATCTCTCTTGGTAGACCTTGGAATGCGTATGCTCGCGTGGCGTTCATTGAGAGCTATCTCGGTTCTTGTATCGAGTCAGCGGGTTGGGAGCAATGGACCAAGACTGACCCTCGTACTAGCGGCGTCATCTTTGGTGAGATGGGCAACTATGGCCCTGGTTCATCTACATCTGGTCGTGCTTCGTTTGCTACGCAACTTACCGCGAGTGACGCTGCTCAATTTGAGCTAGCCAACTTCTTCGCCGCTACTACGTGGATCAACATGACCCTGGTCAAGGCGACGCCATTTGTCGCTGGAAGTGTTACTGTCCCAACAGCATCGACAACTTCAGTTTCGTCAACATCTAGCTCAAGCTCAAGCTCAACCTGGCTTTCTACAGCTACCGTCTACACCACGAAGATTTCCACCATCAAAGAGACCTCGTCAACCACCACAACAGCAGCAGATACCACTTTGACTCAGCGCTACACCTCCACTCTTGATATTGGAACGACAATTACTCCATCGCCAACTACTAGAGTGGTCGTGGAAAAGACCAGCACAACTCAGATCTCTACGGTTTCTGAGCCTGACGAGACAGTCACCAAGACATCTACCCTGCTTGTCAACGTGGCCTCAACTGTGACACCTGATCCGACTTACAAAACCTCCACAGTTACAGAGAAGTCCGTTCAATACAGCGTCAAGACAACCACCGGAAAGACGTCAACCGTGAAAGCCACCTCTAGTACGACGGTGCTGGCCACACAGACTCCTGACGCAAAGACCGTCACAGTAACACTGGGCAGCACTTTGACTAGTTTGTACACCAAGACATCCAAGGCAGTGAAGGTGACGAGCACGAGCACTCAGACTGTTGGAAGTCTCGAGGAGACGACAGTTGAAGAAAAGCCAACAACCGTCTACTCTACTTCCTATGTCACTGGAACCACTACCAAGAAGAGCACTACCACTCTCACTTGTATTCCCACTGCCAATAAGCTTCGTGCTCGGGCACTGGAGTTGGCGGCCCAGGCGACCCCTGAGCCTCAGACATTCGAGAAGCTGGAGATCCGTGCCGCTGGCCCTCAGACTGTCACTGTCACCATCTTCTCACAATTCACTACGGATGTGAAGACATCGACTATCACTATTCCGGGCTCAACTTTCACGTCAGATATTTACACGACCAAGTACACTGGCAAGACTGTGTCGCTCAAACCAGTCACCGTGTCCAGCACCAGCTGGTCGACTAGCACCAAGTACACGACGACGACGATTCTTGGCTCAACCTCGACTGTTTCCGAAGTGGTAACCAAGGAGACTGGCAAGACAACGACCCTTAAGCAGTCGACGTTGACCCAGCTGCAGACCGTGACCACTGTATCAACTTCTGTGTCCACAACCACCGTGCCAGGGCCAACCACGACAAGTGTCCAGCTTGTGACAATCAAGAGCACCACGACTCTGCCACAGCAGACGTCAACTCGGACGTACAGCAAGGACACGACTGTGAAGAGCACTACTACACTTCCAGCCAGCACCTCGGTGGTTTGGAAGACTGTGACGCAATCTTTGAAGCCGACGGCTACTGTTACGAGCCAGTCCACGGTGTCGAAGACGACGTCGGTGAAGGTCACGCAGACGGTGACAAGCTGGGCTACTACAACTAAGAAGAATGCTCCGACATGTTCGGCGTAATGAGGGGAGAGTTCGGAAAGCGGGTTAGCATCGGAGTTTGCTTTGTCAATCAATTAATCTATCAAATATCTTATAGACATACCTAATAATTTGTACATACACTTGCTCGTCTTAATCATCCAATATTTCATCGTAAGCTACACAATTTGACTCTCGGTGAAGTTTGACTCTCAGTAAAGGCTTTATGACGTAGAAGTTGAGACATTGTAAAATGCAACCCACGTTGCCATGAGCAATTATGAGATTATGTTAGTGCCATGGATTATCCTCCAGAGTACCGATATATTTCACATGGGCAGTGATTCTTTGCAAGAGAGTCACTAGTCGAATGTCGTTTTGGTCAGATTATCCGACATTGAACAGA